AACTCACTTTTATTTTAAATAACCAATAAAATATTCTCATTTTAACTGGGAATAAGATTTTTTTTTATAAACTAAGTGTGCTTGTTTTTTTATAGTTTCAGTATGTTTTCCATTAATAAGAAAATACATGAAGTACTAAAAATTCTCGTTTTAGCTGGGAATAAGATTTTTTTTATAAACTAAGTGTGTTTGTTTTTTTATAGTTTCAGTATATTTTCCATTAATAAGAAAATACATGAAGTACTCGTTTCTGAACCAATGGTCCTGTGGCACTGTATATATTACTATTGAAACATATACAACTAAAGACAAATTTTGAAAGTTATTTTCTGAATTTGGTTACATTTGATAAGATATTTTTCCTACCAAAGTATCTAGCTATTAGGCATTTTCAGGTATAATTTAATAATAGATTACTAATATAATAATAGATTAATAATTTAATCATAGATAATAGAGTATCTGGAGTTAACCTGATTGTTTATTTTCTTATTCAGTGGAAATTTGATGTTTGTTGCCATGTAGGATTTATTCTATTATTTTTTATTTATTTCTTGTATTTGTGCAAGACAAAAAAGTGTTTTATTATTATGCTGTGAGAATCAGGTTTCTCTGGGGAAAATTTTTTGACCTCTGTTGGTTCCTAGCTCATGTCTGGAAGTCAACAGATATGTTTATTGACATCCACTCTGACCTCAGGAAAACAAACCAGCCCAAATAAGGGGAAAGAAAGAAACAATGGACATAAAGAGACTTAATAATAGGGAGGAAAAAGTTGTAGTTAACAATGGAGTTGGTATTTGAATTCAGTCATAAAATTCTGTACACTCTAAGTGAGCTTTAAGATTAGATAACCCTGAGATTACTGAATCTGGATGGAGTTCAGCTTTTGATGGGGCTTTTTACTAATTAGCTAAATTCTTCAGCTCTATATGAAAATATGAAGTTGAAGCTTCGTAACTCCTCCAAAAGTCTGTATTTAATAACAGTCAAAAAAAATTAATCTGAATTAACTGAATGTGAGAATTTAAAGTAGTTGTGCCAAATTGTTTTACAGTAATTATCTGCATTCTGTTAATTCATAAGGGTATATTTGGTAAATTAAGGAAGAATTATTTAATTCTAGATAAGGCTGCCTGCACAGGGATCTAACACAATTTAACTCACACATGACATTTTTCTCTATAGAAAATTTTGGTAAGTAATCATAACCCAGTTCATTGAGAAAACTGTCTAGTTAGATACTTCAGAAGACATTTCTTCTCTTCTTCCAGGAGGCTTCGCTGTCCCAGAAATTATATCCATGTACAGCTGTTTTTTACTTTTATCTTAAAAGCTATTGCCATTTTCATTAAGGATGCTGTTCTTTTCCAAAAGGAAGACATTGATCACTGCAGCTTCTCTACAGTAAGCACATGAAAAGCAGGATACTGTGGTACTTGATATTTCTGCATACCATCTATATACATGGTTTCACTCTTCATATTGCTCTTTTTGTTACCTTTTTTTTTTTTTTTTCTCCCCTAGCCTGGTAGTGAAAGTTATATAATTATTTTATTAAGCATGTTTTACCTCCATAAGTGTGAACCTCAGAACTTCTACAAATCAGATATAGACTTTGCCGTAGAAAAAAGTAGTATCGTTACACTGTTGTGCCTCTATAACCTGAAGCTTAAAAATGAAGCTCTCCAAGTACATCATGGCACAACTTTAAAAAGATGTTTATTCTGGAACTGTTTGATTTCATGTTCTAACTGGAAGTTCTGAATTGTAAACCACAGGACACGCAAGATACTGAGCCATGAATCTAGCTTTGGGTACACTGGCAACATAGCACTGGTTTTCAAAGAGGTTTATGGGATGATTCTTCTTCATTGCTCATGGCCACACAAAAATTTTAAACTGATCCTAAGTAAGAAAGTAAAATATGATGGGTCCTTGAACATACTTTTGTCCAAAGGCTACGGAGCATTTGACTCTACATGTGTAAGCTACACCAAAACCAGTACATTTGTGGGAGAAATCACATACTTGGGAGACCAAGCTGTTACTTTTAGCATAGAGATATAAACCAAAATACAGTGGAGATTCCAAGCTATTATGGTGGTTTAAGCCTTACTATTCAGAAAGTCTTATTTCAGTTGAAATTTTTCCTTCAAACATGCATGCAATTGTGAGATCTTTGTAGATCTTAGCCAGAATTACAGATGCCTTCTACCTCTACAAATCAAACATGGATGCACAAGTAATGCCAAAACTCTGACTTTACTGTTCCCTAGACTGAATGCAAGATCTCAGTTGTTTTCTGTCACTACTTCATGATGACAAACTTCATGTGGCTGCTAGTAGAGGCCCTTTACCTAAACTGTCTACTACTCTCATCTCTTTCTCATGGAAGAAGATATTTTTGGTGGCTTGTTCTCTTTGGCTGGGGTAAGTAAGCCTTTTACATGAAATTAATAAAAGGTAGTATGTTACCAAAGTCTTTATCCATCCCATTAAAAATACTGAATGTGGAATCTAGTTGAAGTGCCTAATTGAAGTGCCCAACTTGGGCATTGCTTTGCTTTTAGTTTTACATGAATATTAATGAAGAGCAATCAAGTTTTTATAAGTGGTGTTAAAGTCTCTATGAAAGAAGTGGACAATTAAGTACATTTGGGAACCCACAGAGAGAGACTCAGTCTACTTATCCTCCTCTTCCCAATTTAAAACACAGATTCCTCTAAGGAGCTATCTTATTCATCTAAGTTAGGTGTACCTTGCTTCAGTTCATGTAAAAATATAGTTATATAGTCCTCTCCTGAGAATGGGTCCACCTGGAGGCATAGCAGGTATTTTTGTAGTGCTGATATTGCTACAGTCCATCTTTCGTACTGGGCAATTGTGTGAATAAAGGAGCTCTACCCATTAAATATCAGTGCAGGCATGAGACAGCAAGATCCCCTTCTCTCTTGAGGACATATGGCAGGTGAATGCACTTGCCCAGGGGAATTTTTGATTGGTTCAGGAACTCAATCCATGCACGTTGCCACCAAAGATTAAGATAGGCCTGACAACTAAGTAGACTGAATAATTTTTTTGTGTTTTAGTTAGACTTCAAGTGCCTTTTTAGGAAGGTGTAAAGTAGGCTGCATCACGTTCTGTGTCTCTGATGTGGTAGTTTTATTATTATTATTTTAAGATTTGGTAAATTCTATTCTCCAATACTTTTTTATGCAAAAAGCACACTAAACAAAGCTGGGTTTAAATGTGCTATTTGCATGCAAGTGTTAACTTCAGGTGAGATCACACATGTGAATTGTGTTCATGTAGTAAGAGGTTGCAAGTTCAGTTCTCTGTGGCAGAACTATGTCATGTGCAAAGTGTGTTCCTCTTTATCTTCATCAAGATGCATGATCACCGAGCAGTCAATGCCTTAACTTGTTTCATTCCATCATGGGTATTAGGAGATTTCTTTTTAGATTTATATCATGACTCTAAAACTGTTCTACTCACATGAACAGGCTACAAAGGGTAATGTCACTTCTGAAAATGGGTGATCTGTATCACCATGGCAGAGTTTCAGTGGACAAGATCTGGATTAACTGATGAAATTACACAAACAGAGTTTTTGTTTAATTAACAGGTTTTCCAACTCTTTTCACCTTTATATGGATATTAGCAAAATTCTACTTTGAAGACACAGAGTAAGTCATTGCTTCCTTCATTGTTCTAGATTCGTGAGTTAGATCTTTAAAATAATGACAGTGATGAAGACTTATGTAATTTAAATTGAATGGGAAAATATTATTAGTGTATTACCCACCTTTCCCT